AAATAACCACCACAGCACTCTACTCTGCATTTACATAAACGCCTATAATGGCTGTGTAATGGTTTAAATATTCATCATGCTTCCTTTGCATTCCACTTTCCACTGAATTATAAAAAGAAAATTGTCCTGTTGGACAGCTTCCTCTTTCTGTTGTGGTGACCATCTGAGAAACCTCTGTAATGATAATGATACCAAACTCTTTACCTATGTTAAACAAAAAGCATTTCATTTCAGCTTTCTCTGAGAAATGAATTTGGAAAGCAGTAGACGAATAACATATAAAATCATGCCATCATGACAATAATGTTTTGCCAGAAGTCACACCAAAATAATACTGAATTATCATCCAACTCTGAATCATACTCTTTAAAAAGCCATCCCAAACAAAGCAAATCTTTCTTTCAAACACACATAACTGTTTCTTCCCCCTTTTTTTATATTGCCATTGGCCAATGGGTCTTTACTGCAATCACTGCAAATATAACAAATGATTGTTGCAGGTAGCATCATGTTTTTTTTAGCCATGCATGTACTGTATGTCATATGTCAGTGCAGTTTGTGTGAGTTTGATGTTTGTTTTCCTAATTTTGTTCCACTTGATATGACGTACTGTAACAGCTCTTCCGTAAGCTTCTTCCATTTTTTTCCTCGTGTTTTATGGGGAATTTTTTCTCATCTAAACTGAGGGTCTAAGGATGGGCATCAAAGGCTGCACAGATTGTGAAGCCCCATGAAGCAAATTTCTGATTTGTGATATTGAGCTATATAAATAATATTGACTTGACATGACATGAGACACATGAGGTATTTCCATTATTTACTCAGGGGTCTGAAAGAAGGAGCAGCTTTCCTTTAACACTAATGAAGACATCAAATCCATATTCAGCAGCTCTCCCCCTCTTTCTCTCTGTGTGTGTGTGTGTGTGTGTGTGCTCTTCAGTCCCAGTATCACTCAGCCTTGTGATTCCTTTAGTGCCTGCAGGCATTAGAATCAGAGTCACGTTCCAGCGGACACTTCGGACAAAACGGTCCTGAGGAGGAGGAGTGTGTGCGTGCGTGTGTGCAGAAATAGAAAGTGCTACAGTAATATCACAGAAGACTATTAGAATATCAGAGCATTGCAGAGATATCATACAATATTAAAAATATTGTAAAGTACCACTCAGTTCGTGTAAGTGCACTGTTGAGTACCATATAGATTATAGATTGTGACCGTCAATATGCAGATGATGTAAAACTGCTACAGAGACCACAGTGTGGAAAACTGTGTAATATCAATCACTGGTAGGTTAGCAGCAGAACCTCACTCATTTAAACCAAAGCAAAACACTGAGACCTCATACAGATATCATACAGAACTGTCAACTTGTTCCACTACGTCTCCATCTTCAGTCTTCAATCACTAGAATCCAACATACCATATCTACTTGAATGAATCTAACACTATTTCAAGTTGACACTGATGCACGCTGTGCCAAAACACTGCTTTTTCCTGGGTTTGAAGAGTGGGAGGGAAGTAAAACAAACTACGATGTCGGGTGATATTGAGAAGACATGCTTCTTTAGAACAGCCTCAATAGCAGTGTCGATCTTAGTGGTCGCCATTGTTGTTATGTTGTTTTTACTCCTCCTTGGTCAGAGAGCACAGGCTGACAGCAGCTTGACAATGGGGTTCCCATCCGTGGCACTGATTGGCTAATTGTCAGTCCTCCCACTGTGCCAAATGTTTTAACCAGGAAACCGCTGTGTCATGATGCCAGACCAGAATCATTCAACTTTGTGGAGTGGGTAGACTTAAAGGTCTGGACCCATTCAAAGTCTAACCAGTAGTCGCGCTAACAATCTAAGTGTGGTCTGAGAATGAAGCTAAAAGAAATATAATGGGATCATTAAAATCACCTCCTATGGGGAGTGGGTGGTAAAATCTTTAGGATTCAGTCTCTCAAGATCAAGAATCTGCATTGCAATTTAAAGGTTGAAGATTTGGCGGTTAGTACCAGAGGGGAATCCGCTGGGGACTGTTCAGTCTGTGTCAGCACCAAATTTGTTGGCAGCTTGGCCAACAGCCATTGAGGTAACTTGCTCTGAACCAGAGCTGCTTTGGATGGAATGACCTACCTATTCCTTGGCCTTTCAAGTAAGTATTAGTAAAAAATAGACCCTAAAATAAACAAAAAAACATGTATTCAGGAATATTATATACAGTGTGTGATACATATTACAAACTACAATGTCGGAAATAATATTAAGAAAAACACTTGATGTACGTAACCTTAATAAGAGAGTGTGTCAGAAGAAAAAAAGTCAGGTGGCATAGTATACAAAGAAACAGTCTGTGAAGGGAGGAGGTAGGAGTGGATGGCTGGGTCAAACAAACACAGGACACTTTAACCCAGGAGAATAGTTTGTGTCCCGTGTGAAACCTTATGCAATGTTGACTTATTTGAACTTATGTAACATATTTAATTCATTTCACGAAGTCAACTTGTGTAAATGACCTAACTAACGTACTTATTTTAACCCAAGCATGATGTTTTCCTAAACCTAACCAACACAACACAACCATGTGTTTAATACTGTTGCCAAGGCAACAAAGGTCACCAGATTTCCTCCTTTCCTACATGTGTAAAACTCATACAAGGCACCATCTCTAACAGAATGTCCTTAACAGTGGCAGGTTATTAAACAGTGTCACAGACACACTGTGCAATGTGTGGGAGATCCTTATGCCACAAAGTACTTTTAATTGAATATACCTCCCAGCCTGACAGACACACGATACACCACTATGTGAAAATATTACACCATGAAGCACGATGGTAAAACATCAGTTTTCTGATATTCTGAATTTCACTGAGATATTAATTACATGGAATACTCCGATGGCTTTAATAAATTGCCTCAGGTCATATCTTGCTAAAAAAGTTCCAATTATGAAAACATGTATTTAATGTATTATCACATCAGTAGCCTAAGAAAAATGTGCAATGCCAGTCCCAAGATAGGCCTTTAAAATACATTCAGAGGAGCAAATGACATATAAACATAGAAAATAATGTAAAATGTGATACTTTCTTGTGCCTTTCATTAATATTAACCTACAGCCCTTTTTAATATTTATATTTGGCCTATAACTGCACTGAAACTCTACATCTATTACTCATTTTCAATGATTTATTTCACATTGTAGTATATTTTAATTAGATTTAATTCTAATTGATTCTTTCCCTCTTTATTGTGTTTTCAAATATTGTGATTCCTTTTTTTCCCCGACTTTGAATTGCCTCTGTAAGAGCTTCTTTGAGCTCACTGCTGAGCACCACAGACACATTATACATCGCTTTAATAATATCATATGTCTGTAAGTTCCCTCTGAACTCACCGATAAGTTCTTAAACAGTGATTTCTCCTCAGGGGATCTATGCGTGAGGGGCAGAGCTCATGTCCAGCTAGTGACACCTCCGGCGGCCAATCAGTGACGGGTTTCAGGGCCGCGCTGGCCAATGACAGCATCTTGTGGGCGTGTCTGTCCACTGCGAGGTGCGTTTTGTGGAGTTTGCTAAATGACTGCAGCAAGAAAATACAGTGTCGGAGCGCACCGAGGCTGGCTGTGCTGTCTATACTGTCCCTCCGCGTGTGTGTGTGCGTGTGTGTGCGTCGGGCAGGGGCCAGTGTCGCTGCCGCTCTCGTGCCATGGAAGAGGGTCCACATCAGTCCGATACGCAGGTGTCTACGCTGTTGTAACACTCTAAATCGTTCACCTGCTGGGGATTTGATTTCTTTTTCTCTGTCTGACGGAAGCGGTGCCCGGATGGGAGCAGATGCGGAGCGCAGCAGCGGCCGCCGGTGCGTCTCCAACTTGACCACCACCAGACAATGGGAGTAGCTGAGCCGTGCTGCTTCAGCGCCAAGTACTACTACTACTACTACTCGCCCCTGGGAGACAACTACGAGAGGAAGAGGGAGAAGCAGCAGCAGCAGCAGCAGGAGGAGGTAAAGAAGAAGGAGAGGGAGAAGAAGAAAAGGAGGCAGACTTGTTCTACCTGCAGACCTCCTTCTCTGAGCAGCAGCAGCAGCAGCAGCAGCAGCAGCGCTGGGAGTCCCGCAACAGCCGATACGCACGGATCCAGAGCGACGCTCCGGCTGCCTCTGGGATGCATGTGAGAGAAACCCTGCAGATCTGAGAGCACTCCTCTGTGTGGGTCTATCCTGTGAGTGGAATTAGGGAATATAACGCACATGCACAGTTTGCCAGACCTCTGGAGACATTGAGACGCAGCTTCCCGCAGCCAAAAGCAGCCCGTGATTCTTGTTTTTTTTTTTTTTTTTTTTTTTTTTTTTTCTTTCTTCCACCACTGAAGGAATATGTCTTTTTTCCCCTTTGACCGCTGTGGATCGCACAGACTGGACTTAAGAATAATTGGGTGTAATTGTGTGTCAATTAACAGCAGTCTGTGAGCGGCTAACCTCTTAGAGACCCCCCCAACCCCATCCCCCCCCTCTCTCTCTGTCCTCTCTCTCTCTCTCTCCCTCTCCCCCCCCCCCCACCCCCTTTCCGAGCCAAAACCTGGACGAGCCCCGCAGCCCCGCCGGTATCTCTGCCTGCCTCTGTCCGTGGTCCTGAACACCATTTGGGGCTGGATCTTGTGGATTTTTCGCCGGCTCCACGGTGGCGGGCGCTGGAGGCGTGAGAGCGGACACAAGCATGATTTCATGGCCGGCGAGGTCATGAGCATCCCGCGGCTCAGCACCGGCGACTCTGGGATCTGAAACACGCACAAACCACCCCCCCTCCCCCCCAACATTTTCGGCTCACCTTGGAGGTCATAAACCATAACCACAATCCCCCCTCCCCTCTCCTCCTATTCCTCCTCCTTTTCCACCACTAAAGGATTTTCTTTCTTTTTTTTTTTTCTGGAGGGGAATTCATCCTCTCAAGAGTGTGACCCCCCCCCCCCTACCCCTCACCCCCCTTCAGCAACACCTTCACCCCCCCCCCCCTCCCTCTAAACAAAATGAGACTGGCAAAAATGTGCCGACTAAACGCGCTGGGGATCTATTTGTGGGAAACGATAGTGTTTATCAGGTAAGCAGAGGCTTGAAATGGACTTCACGAGTGAAAATAGTGATGTGTGTGTAATTTGTGTGGGGCTTGATAAAATTGGAATTTGCATTTTTATTGCTTTGCTGCCATTTGGGACGCGCATGGACATTAAAGCTCCCTTCAGGAGTCTCAGAGGGGACAGAAAAAGGGAATCCAGGTGAAATCTTGTGAAAGTTGCCTCTGGGTTGTGTGCGTGTTGTTGCTCATGTGCATGTCAGCCATGCACGTACTAGCGAGTTGAATTAAGTAGCATTGGATCCAGGCAGCGTTGTATGGGCAGCGAAACAGCGACCACTAGTGGGCGGGCTGCGTTTATGATGTGCTCTTCCAGAATTTCAACAGGCATGTGGAGAGAAAAGAAGACTCTGAAGGCACATGTGACTGCATTAAGATGATTATGTAGGGCTCCTAATAACAAACGTACACACACACTTATGTTTAACCCCTCCCACACACACTTAAAAACCAGTGTTTCTTTTTGTTCCTACAGTGTGACGTTTGAATGCTGTCTGTGCAGAGTTTGACACTAGAAAGATGTTTTCACATTCATCTGCTGAAAGAGGAAAGTTTCTCTGTGCTCACTGGAAATCAGATCTTTAAGGGGCGGGTCCTATGGGCATGATTTGTGATATCATAGATAGTGAGGAAGTAAATCCTGGTCCAGTGTGCAACTTTTACAAAGTGTATGGTAGAAAACATGAAACCACCAGTGCACACACACACTGAGAATGGACTTTACAGTGAAGTAGGAGACATCTTGATTCCAGCAGGAAATATATCTTAAATATTTATATTGCATATATATAGATTCTGGTATTTGTAATGACGTAGCAGGAGTAGATGTGTTTTAAAGTATTTTAATGTGGAAATTATACTTTTTTCAGGGTAAAACACATTAGACACACATTATTGTTCCAAGCAGACTGTTTGTATTATGTCATAATACATGTCTGGAGGGGATCTTTAAGCCCGTGTGGCTCATGTCAGTCAGTTCTTTAGAAGGTAGACGGCTTTCTGTCCACTTGAAGGTGACTTTTTTATCCCAAAATGTGAATAATGTCAATTATTTCTCAGCCTCGGGTTTACAGAGCCCTTCTTTCCTAAAAAAAAACGCTCATCTCATTTGCCTCATTTGTCTCACCGGTTCAATAAGATGAATCAGTTGTTATGAGGTTCGGGTTGTAATTTCTTCTTTCATTACAAGCAATCCATTAATTGATTAACAATTCATTCTGCTGCTGCACTGGTTGCACATCAAGCCAAATCCACCAAACACAAAAGAGAAAGAAGACAACAGGTCGGTTAGACATACATTTCTTTACTTTCAGAAGTCAAATATGTTTTGACGTCATACTTTGAGGTAGTTTATTTGCCAGCAGCTACAACCAGCTATATTTTTTGCATATTTTTCTTTTTTTCCTCCCTGGTGTACCCATGTTAGTTTTGAGGTCATCTCCAGTTTCCCTCCCTGCTGGAAGCAACATTTACTCATCCCTGCTGCCTCCAAAGTTGCCTATTCATCAAGGCCCTCTCACATGCTGTATGCAGAACCCCCTAGCAACCAAATCCTCGTGTTAATGTCGCAGCAGTAGGCGGGGTGTGTGGTAATACTGCTGTGAAATTTAAGGGGGATGTTGCCCGAAATGTGAAGTTGCAGCCGTCATTTTGTGGGTGGCAAATAAGGAAAACATGGCTGTTGTTAGTTAGTTGGTGCTATTGAATGGACTCGTGTTGGCTGGATTTGGTAGTTAGTTTTGTGTTGATAGTGAAGTCTCATGGTTGTTGACTTCGGTGCTTTTTAACATTGTCATTTGTCACAACCAGGGGCTGATGGGTATATTTGTAAGTCTAGTCTTAAACATGTTAAAATAAAGACTCATCAGAAAGATTAATGACAAAGGGAAACTGGAGAAGGACCCAATCAAACCACAGAGCAGGGATGACAAAATGACATTTTAAGGTTGTTCTGAAGACATGTCTGCATCATTAGAGGACTGTGTGCTCGATAGGCAAGATGGATTTAGAGGGTGAAGTTGAACTCTGGAGGTGTTTGGCTTCAGGCCACTGTGGGACGTTTAATGCATCATCAACAAGGTGAAAGCATTTTTTGTGAAGTGAAAGAGTTTCATGTGTCACTGCCCTTTACAGGTTTTAAATTCTCCTGGGAACCTGAATAATAGCATCTGGTTTGGGGTTTGTTGAGCTCACTGGGTTCAAGCAACAAGCGAATAATAATTTTTTTTAAAGACTCTCAACATGATAAGTCAATATTTTATGTATTAACTTGTATGAGATGGAATTATGGAAATAGTCTTCAGTGTTTATTTAAGTAAAAGTTTCAAAAACACAACCTAAAGATACTCAAGCAAGGAAAATTGCTCTTTATGAATATTAGCACAGTTTTCTGTATTATTAAAAGTACTCATGATGACTCCGAATGGCTAATGGTAAAGTGTAATATTAGAAAAAATATATAAAAGTGAATCATTATTACTGGTGCATTAAGCATTTAATGTTGTAGTTGGTCGAGCTCATTTGAACTACTTCCAAAGAGATTTTACACATGGAAATGTGTTGACTTGACAAGTACTGTTTAGCCTGCAGTTTAATTTATAATATTTAAGCTTTGAGACTTCATTTATTTATTTTTATTTTAAACTAATTCAGTGTTGAAAGGGGCTGCAGAGTTTGAAAGAGATGCATCTAAACCAGGCAGGCAGGATCCAATGAAAGATGGTATTTAGGTGCATGATGGGAATCATAGGAGTGTTTGCTTGGCATATGGAGGGACTAGAAGTCATGATATCTCCGGCTCTCCTGCATCAATTATTTTATATGATTCAAAAACCTTTTAGGAACATACCTACACATCTAAGAAGGTAGACCCTACCCTGATAAAATAGGGCTGTGAGAGTCCAACAAAATAACCAGTATTATTGATCATGTGTTTTGGGTATTGTATGGGGGGAAAAAATCATCTAATGGCTACTAACTATAGCTATCAGGTGCATGTCGTGGGGTACATTTCCCTCAAAAGTATAGTGTAGTAGAGCAATATAAAAAGCCCCTAAACACAGTTAACATAAAGAAACTAAAATAAATCTTTAATTCTTTATTTAACTTGCTGTTTGTAAAAAAAAGTTGCTCCAGATTTTTGAAAATTGAAATGATTATATTTTTCTTTTCCAGAACAAACTGCTGGGAATGAGCCTATTTACTTTTACCTACTGTTTCTCCCAATTTCCACAGAATGCGAATTGTATGCAAATATCTCATAATGTGTTTGGCTCCTGCTTTGCATTCCAACCTGCAGGCACCCTGCACGTTTCGCTTTATTGCATCACATGCAGATATTATTTCCCAGCTCGGCCTCTGAGGTATTTCATTATGTGAACTATCAAAGGCGTTTTTCTACCTGCTGCAGCGACTCCCTCATTCCCATTGAATGAGGCAGCCGTTTACAGTTGGGATGGGTGGGTTGGGTGGTGGTGTCGGAGGGGGATGGCTGCAGGAGTTTTGCATTCAGCACACACTGTTTAGTTAATGAACCAGAGTCGGGATATTGCCGTCTCAGCTCCTCGGGCCTGGACTCTGCAGTTCCCCACTTAATTGATATCTCTTTCCCCTCCGTCCCGACCCAGACCCCCCACACCTCATTCCACATTCAGCCTTATTACTAAACATTGATTAGCCTGTCAATGGCTGGGGCCAGACCTGATGAATACACATTTAATGCTTGCACATATCTCTCCCCTCGCTCTCTCTCTCTCTCTCTCTCTCTCTGTCCCCTGCTCCTACTATTCATCAAAGACGCAGGAGAGGAGGGCTGAGAATTTAGATTGAGATTGGACCTGCAGGAAATTCATCTCAACAAAACCTTTAATCTTTTATTCAGGTTCAAATCTGTGAATTCTGCCAAGACAGGTGAAAGAATGTGCAAAGAAGGTGAAATAATTTCTATTGTTGCCAGAACTTCTCAACTTATATTTAGTTTTTTTTAGTGGTATAACTTTCTGGAGAAAGCAGAGCAGATTTCAAAGCATTAGTTTGAAACTAACCCTTAACATCTTTACTATATTGGTTGCTTTGGTTGTTCTAGCTGTCACAGCTTCTCCAAATGATACAATATGAATGAAAATAGGAGATAAAATGACACCCATAAAGGGGTGTCACGTTGCGGGCGGGTGTGCACACTATAAAAAACACCCATTATGAGTAATTTAGTGTCAAATTTAGCCTTTGAAAGCAAAGGAAGAAGAAAGATGTTTGCACCAACATGATATTTGATTATACCAAGTTATCCTAACTAGTTCATTTGTTTTAGGAAAAAAGTCACATTAATACAGTTAAGCATTTTTTTGTTGATATAAAATTAATGACATGTTTATTTACTTATATTGCACTGCAGTAATGATTTAAGTAATGTAAACTGAATGGATATATTTATTGTCTGTCTTACCTTCAGTCATTACACCAATACTCTTGAGTAAGGGCTTTAAGCAAACTATTTTAATGATTTAGCCTTCACAGTGAAGACAGTTTGATATATTCCTTCCTCGCTGCTATTTTTTTGAGTGCTTTTTTTGTTTATTTTGCTTTTTGCTTTTTCAACACTGTCATGCTTATTGTATATGTTACTAACTATATTAGCTAATTTAAATGAAAATCAAATCACAATAGTACACAATATGTTCATAGCAAGGGTTCAGTTGAAAGGTAATTTGTTAGTTTCCACTAATCAGAACGCAATCTTTGAGCCATCTGCTGTGTTAATTACTGCTAATTTAAAGGAATCCCTTCCTGTTGCTCTTGTTTCACATTGAAAGCTTAGGGGCGAATCACATGAAGAGGTTTCATTTAAAGCAACTGGAAATATTTGTTTAGTAAACAAAGGATTTTGGCTTTCAAGCAAAGTGATCTTGGACAATTATGGTGACCATAATTACACCTATAAGGAACAGTGCAAGGAAGTCATTTTGGAT